AGATGCGTCTACTGCCATTTGATCCACAAGACTTTGCACCTACCAGTCTGTGATCTTCTTGTATTTTACATCATTGCTTGTGACTCCATGAGTTTGAAGAGATTTATGGACTAATATTAGACTTATAGGCTAATATCCAACTGAAGGACTTAATCTGGACTGAGCTGGAATGCTTTCTTAATATGCAATTACTCTTTGATATAAAGTTATTTCTTACATACATATGAATGTCCCTGGATTTGTTTCTCTAGTCAACCTGGACTAACACAGTGAGGTGTCAGCTAAATCCACATAGAAAAAAGGCACCAGCTCATGTGATCCAAGGATTGTAAATAGTAAAACCCAACACTGGAGGAAATAATTGTATTAGAGTTTAAGTTCTGAGCACTCTGTTTGAAGAAGTGTATGGATGACAGTGGAAACCCCGACTCCATTTTCAGAGTACCCACATGGATTGTTTCCATTGAGCTATCTTGGATCATTGACCAGGGATGTGAATAGCCACATTCTCAGACAAAGTACATTAGAAAGTGGATTACTACAGATATAGCTAGGTTAAAAGCTAACACCTTACCATTAGTTTCCCCTTTTTGCCATATTTTTACCCTGTTCTACTTTTTATTATTTTCTGCTTTCTTTGGATTGGGGTTTTTCTGTATTTTATTTTGTTGTTGCTATTAGGTTTTGGGGGGTATAATTTTCTTTATATGACATCCAGGATAGGTAAATCTAGAGACAACAACAAGATTAACAGCTCCTTATAAATAGGGCTGCTAATCACAAGGTCAGCAGTTCAAAACCACCACAGGAGAAAGAGGAGACTTTCTACTCCCCAAAAGAGTTAGAGTCTCCAAAACCCACAGGGACAGTTCTACTCTGCCGTATAGGGTCATTATGAGTTGGAATCGAGTCAATGGCAAATGAGTAACCTGTGAGCCGAATTGAATCAATACATTTTGTAAAAAGCTTATGAAAGGAGGATGAGGGGTGGGGCGAGAACTCATTCAGAAGGATCAAAATCAAGGCTGTAAAAATATCCAGTCCAGGAACAAGGCTGTATTTTCCCTACTTCCTCTCTCTCGAACCAAGCCCTGGTGGTATAGTGGTTATGC